ATCGGAGGCGGGGACCGGGGACCGGGGCCGCACAGAACAAGCGCCCCTCCAGCACAATCCAAGTCCTGATTAGTAATTGGACCCCCGCCTACAGATGACGTTGCTAACCCCCCGATATGCGACGAGCTTAGTTGGAATGCGCCAGAGCAGCAACATCACGACTTCGCGTTCCGGCTTTTCTAGTACCTACACTGCGCCATAACCCGAGCCTATACCAGGTGTCTTATTTGCCATTCGCCCCCGATCATATTCGTAGGTAAGCTGAACCGCGCTGCTGCTGGGTTTAGGGGACCCGTGTCTGGCAAGAGGTTCGCCTTCCTGGTGACACATTGCTGCCAGAGCACACCTCACCTAATTTGTAGGCGACTGGCGCGGGGCAGGGGCGTCGCGCTTTCCCCGAAAATCCACCCACGTATGTAAAGCAGCGCATAACTAATTGGATACAGCTGGAGTATGAAAACGCAGCGCAGTAGTATGCGAGTAGGCGGGAGACAGGGGGGAGCGAGAGCGCGAGTGGGTGTGTACTTGGAGGGGGAGAGAGAGAGAGGGGGTGGGACATGCATTATTTCAAAGGGTTAGAGACGGAAAACGCCACCCGAGTCCAGAAACAACACACCATGGACCAGAAGTTGCACAAGAGGAAAAAGCAGCAGTCGCTCCACTTTACCAGTGCAGCGGATTCCAGGATTTTCTATGAAGCGGGAACGCAAACTCAATTCATGCTTGTTGCCCAGCCAAACCGAGTTAGACTCGGGGGAAACACTCCGAACCCAAAAGTTGCCCCTACCTGCGGCGTGTTGGGGCTGGCGCCGGCCTGCAGCAGGAGGTGCGCGCAGGCGGGCGAGTCGCTCTGCACGGCGTAGTGCAGCGGCGCCCTGGTGCCCGGCCCGCCGCCCGACAGCCCGGCGTTCACGTCCACCTGGCGGGCGAGCAGCATCCGGATGCAGTCCACGGAGCCGGCCGAGGCGGCGCAGTGCAGCGGCGTGGCGCGGCGCGCGGCGTCCCACACCTGCGGCGCGGCCCCCGCGGCCAGCAGCGCCGACACGCACACCACCGAGCCGCCGCAGCAGCTCATGTGCAGCGCCGTCCTGCGGGGCAAAGCGTGGCGAGGGAGATGCTTTTTAAAAGTCCAAGCATGACCCCGCCTTCAAATCTCATGGACATCATCGGAGTGTCCATGTGCGACTTGAGGACTAGGTTTGTCGGTCAGGCACTCTCGGAGCACATTTTGAGCCCCTTTTGCTAACGGCCTGCATGCTGTGTAGCATAGGCGAAGTAGGACGTGGACAATCGACGCACTCCCCTCCCCCCTTCCCCACCCCTCCCAACATGGCACTTGACCAGTCCCTTTGAACCTCC